GGGAGTCTTGGGGGAGGGGAGGGGGGAGGAGGGAGTCCAAGCCCAGACAAACCAAAAAAATATAATCTAACTTTGAAAACGAATTTCCTGCCTAAACTATAACAAAAATTCACCAACACATGGGATGGAACATTTTTTTTAATTGATTTAAAGCTTTCGTGACTGCAGGGATTCATATTCTTGGTTCTTTGGGTAAAGTCACCACCACGTAGAAGGGAAACAATAAAATAATAAAAATATAAAACAATCAAATTGTAAAACAATAAAATTAGTATTCTTGGTTCTTTGGGTAAAGTCACCACCACGTAGAAGGGAAACAATAAAATAATAAAAATATAAAACGATCAAATTGTAAAACAATAAAATTAGTATTCTTGGTTCTTCCGGTAAAGTCACCACCACGTAGAAGGGAAACAATAAAATAATAAAAATAAAAAACAATCAAATTGTAAAACAATAAAATTATTATTCTTGGTTCTTTGGGTAAAGTCACCACGTAGAAGGGAAACAATAAAATAATAAAAATATAAAGCAATACAATTATTGTAAAACAATAAAATTATTATTCTTGGTTCTTTGGGTAAAGTCACCACGTAGAAGGGAAACAATAAAATAATAAAAATATAAAACAAAATTATTGTAAAACAATAAAATTATTCTTGGTTCTTCCGGTAAAGTCACCACGTAGAAGGGAAACAATAAAATAATAAAAATATAAAGCAACAAAATTATTGTAAAACAATAAAATTATTATTCTTGGTTCTTTCGGTAAAGTAACCACGTAGAAGGGAAACAATAAAATAAAAAAATATATAAAACAAAAAAAAATATTATTCTTGGTTCTTTGAGTAAAGTCACCACCACGTAGAAGGGAAACAATAAAATAATAAAAATATAAAACAAATTTATTGTAAAACAATAAAATTATTATTCTTGGTTCTTCCGGTAAAGTCACCACCACGTAGAAGGGAAACGATAAAATAATAAAAATATAAAACAATAAAATTATTGTAAAACAATAAAATTATTATTCTTGGTTCTTTGGGTAAAGTCACCACGTAGAAGGGAAACAATAAAATAATAAAAATATAAAGCAATACAATTATTGTAAAACAATAAAATTATTATTCTTGGTTATTTGGGTAAAGTCACCACCACGTAGAAGGGAAACGATAAAATAATAAAAATATAAAACAATAAAATTATTGTAAAACAATAAAATTATTATTCTTGGTTCTTTGGGTAAAGTCACCACGTAGAAGGGAAACAATAAAATAATAAAAATATAAAACAATAAAATTCTTATTCTTGGTTCTTTAGGTAAAGGCACCACGTAGAAGGGAAACAATAAAATAATAAAAAATCTATAAAACAATAAAATTATTATTCTTGGTTCTTTCGGTAAAGTCACCACCACGTAGAAGGGAAACAATAAAATAATAAAAATATAAAGCAATACAATTTTTATTCTTGGTTCTTTCGGTAAAGTCACCACCACGTAGAAGGGAAACAATAAAATAATAAAAATATAAAACAATAAAATTTTTATTCTTGGTTCTTTCGGTAAAGTCACCACCACGTAGAAGGGAAACAATAAAATAATAAAATATATAAAACAATAAAATTATTATTCTTGGTTCTTTGGGTAAAGTCACCACGTAGAAGGGAAACAATAAAATAATAAAAATATAAAGCAATAAAATTATTGTAAACCAATAAAATTATTATTCTTGGTTATTTGGGTAAAGTCACCACCACGTAGAAGGGAAACAATAAAATAATAAAAATATAAAAACAATAAAATTATTATTCTTGGTTCTTTGGGTAAAGTCACCACGTAGAAGGGAAACAATAAAATAATAAAAATATAAAGCAATAAAATTATTGTAAAACAATAAAATTATTATTCTTGGTTATTTGGGTAAAGTCACCACCACGTAGAAGGGAAACAATAAAATAATAAAAATATAAAAAACAATAAAATTCTCCAGCAAATGTCTCTCGCTGTTTTTTTCCACACCTGATGATGATTGCAATCATCAGACAATCATCATGATGATTGCAACACCAAGCAATCATCATGATGATGATTGCTTGGTGTTGCAGTCGAAACGTCGTGAGAATTTTAGTTTTACATTTTTATTATTTTATTGATTCCCTTCTTACGTGGTGACTTTATCGAAATAACCAAGAATACACGGGAGATGGCCTTTGTATTTATTTTGTGCAATAATGTCTAAGAGTTTTATTGTATTTCCATTGCCCCGTTATTTATTTGTATTAGCATTCACTGTTTCATTGTATGTAATGGCAGAGATTATGGATGTATAAAGTACAACTCGTAACCACAATCATCTCAACAGAAGTCCACGTATTGTGACGAAGGTTTAGCAAATTGTTGATTTTATTTACATAACATAGCAGTTATTATTACTTTATTTTTTTTTATAGAAATATATTCGGGAGAGGGGGGAGGGGAGGGTGGGAGGTGTTTTGAGTATATTTGAATATTGGTTGTAGGAATGTGTCCCAATAAATATGTAATTATGGCCTTGCATTGTACATGCAAATTATGGCAGTCATCATCACACAATCATTGAGCTGTTATAAACCAAACGCGATGGGGTTAGTTCAGGACGTAGTTGGCTTTCGCCACGAAAATATCATCCATACGGAGAGGTGTTTTTGGGTTAGATAGCGTGAATGTGTCAAAGTTGTGTCGTAAAAACCCTCCACCACCCGGCACAGCCAACTAGTAAGGGTTGTCACGTAAACAGAGACTCGTAGAGCGACACAGAGACTCGCAGAGACTCATAGAGATACACAGAGACACACAGAGACTCATAGAGACACACAGAGACTCATAGAGACACACACAGACTCAGAGATACACAGAGACACATAGAGATACACAGAGACTCACAGAGATACACAGAGATACACAGAGACTCATAGAGATACACAGAGACCCATAGAGATACACATAGACTCATAGAGATACACAGAGACCCATAGAGATACACAGAGACCCATAGAGATACACAGAGACCCATAGAGATACACAGACTCATAGAGATACACAGAGACCCATAGAGATACACATAGACTCATAGAGATACACAGAGACTCATAGAGATACACAGAGACTCATAGAGATACACAGAGACCCATAGAGATACACATAGACTCATAGAGATACACAGAGACCCATAGAGATACACAGAGACCCATAGAGATACACAGAGACCCATAGAGATACACAGACTCATAGAGATACACAGAGACCCATAGAGATACACAGAGACCCATAGAGATACACAGAGACCCATAGAGAGACTCATAGAGATACACAGAGACTCACAGAGACACACAGAGACCCACAGAGATACACAGACTCATAGAGATACACAGAGACTCAGAGATACAGATACTCAGAGATACACAGATACCATAGGGATACACAGAGACTCATAGAGATACACAGACTCATAGAGATACACAGAGACTCATAGAGATACACAGAGACTCATAGAGATACACAGTGACTGATAGAGATACACAGAGACCCATAGAGACACTCAGAGACTCATAGAGATACACAGAGACTCACAGAGACACACAGAGACCCACAGAGATACACAGACTCATAGAGATACACAGAGACCCATAGAGACACACACAGACTCATAGAGATACACAGAGACCCATAGAGACACACAGAGACTCATAGAGATACACAGAGACCCATAGAGATACACAGAGACTCATAGAGATACACAGAGACTCACAGAGACACACAGAGACCCACAGAGATACACAGACTCATAGAGATACACAGAGACCCATAGAGATACACAGAGATCCATAGAGACACACAGAGACTCACAGAGATACACAGAGACCCATAGAGACACAGAGACTCATAGAGATACACATAGACCCATAGAGATACACAGACTAATAGAGACACACAGAGACGCATAGAGATACACATAGACTCATAGAGATACACAGAGACTCATAGAGATACACAGAGACTCATAGAGATACACAGATACTCACAGAGATACACAGAGACCCATAGAGATACACAGAGACCCACAGAGATACACAGAGACTCAGAGATACAGATACTCAGAGATACACAGATACCATAGGGATACACAGAGACTCATAGAGATACACAGACTCATAGAGATACACAGAGACTCATAGAGATACACAGAGACTCATAGAGATACACAGTGACTGATAGAGATACACAGAGACCCATAGAGACACTCAGAGACCCATAGAGACACTCGGAGACCCATAGAGACACTCAGAGACCCATAGAGACACACAGAGACCCATAGAGATACACAGAGACTCATAGATGAAACTAAAACTAAACTATCGAACCCACGACCTCCTGCGTACCAGGCGAGGTAGTCAACATCTCCTAGCCATCTTCACTTAGAGCAAAGTGTTTACACAATCCATGAGTTATCTCACCTCGCCACACAGAATCAACTTCCCACCCACTTACCCACCCACTCACCCACCCACCCACTCACCCACCCACTCACCCACCCACTCACCCACCCACACACTCACTCACTCAACCACTCACCCACCCACTCACCCACACACTCACTCACACACGCACACACTCTCACTCACACACTCACTCAACCACTCACCCACTCACTCACTTGCTCACTCACTCACCCACTCACCCACCCACCCACTCACCATCCCACCCACCCACTCACCCACTCACCCACCCACTCACTCACTCACCCACTTACTCACTCTTCCACTCACTCACACTCTCACACTCACTCACCCACCCACTCACCCACCCACCCCTGTGACCCTTGTGACCCCTGTGTCCGTCCCCTGTGACCCCTGTGTCCCCTGTGACCCCTGTGACCTCTGTGACCCCTGTGACCTCTGTGACCCTGTGTCCCCTGTGACCTCTGTGACCCCTGTGACCCCTGTGCCCCCTGTGTTGACAGTGAGGGGATCTTCAAGTGCCCTGAGGACAGACTTCCTCTGGAGTATGCCACGGTGAACAACACTACCACACAGCTCCCCCCTCTCACCTACCCCTCTCATCTACCCCCCCCCTCTTATCTACCCCCTCTCACCTACCCCTCTCATCTACCCCTCCCTCTCATCTACCCCTCTCATCTACCCCCTCTCATCTACCCCCCCCTCTCATCTACCCCCCTCTCATCTACCCCTCTCATCTACCCCCTCTCATCTACCCCCTCTCATCTACCCCCTCTCATCTACCCCCCCCCCCCTCTCATCTACCCCCCTCTCATCTACCCCGCTCTCATCTACCCTCTCATCTACCCCCTCTCATCTACCCCTCTCATCTACCCCCCCTCTCATCTACCCCTCTCATCTACCCCCCTCTCATCTACCCCCCCCCTCTCATCTACCCCCCCTCTCATCTACCCCCCTCTCCTCTACCCCTCTCATCTACCCCTCTCATCTACCCCCTCTCATCTACCCCTCTCATCTACCCCCTCTCATCTACCCCTCTCATTTACCCCCCTCTCATCTACCCCTCCCTCTCATCTACCCCCCCTCTCATCTACCCTTCTCATCTACCCCCCCTCTCATCTACCCCTCTCATCTACCCCCTCTCATCTACCCCCCCTCTCATCTACCCCCCTCTCATCTACCCCCCTCTCATCTACCCCCCTCTCATCTACCCCTCTCATCTACCCCCTCTCATCTACCCCCTCTCATCTACCCCTCTCATCTACCCCCTCTCATCTACCCCTCTCATCTACCCCCTCTCATCTACCCCTCTCATCTACCCCCCCTCTCATCTACCCCTCTCATCTACCCCCTCTCATCTACCCCCCCCCTCTCATCTACCCCCCTCTCATCTACCCCCCTCTCATCTACCCCCTCATCTACCCCCCTCATCTACCCCCCTCATCTACCCCCCTCATCTACCCCCCTCATCTACCCCCCTCATTACCCCCCTCTCATCTACCCCCCTCTCATCTACCCCCCCTCATCTACCCCCCTCATCTACCCCCCTCATCTACCCCCCTCAATCTACCCCCCTCATCTACCCCCCCTCATCTACCCCCCTCATCTACCCCCCTCATCTACCCCCCTCATCTACCCCCCTCATCTACCCCCCTCATCTACCCCCCTCATCTACCCCCTCATCTACCCCCTCTCATCTACCCCCCTCATCTACCCCCTCATCTACCCCCTCTCATCTACCCCCCCTCATCTACCCCCCTCATCTACCCCCCCTCATCTACCCCCCTCATCTACCCCCTCTAATCTACCCCCCTCATCTACCCCCTCATCTACCCCCCTCATCTACCCCTCTCATTACCCCCCCTCATCTACCCCCTCCCTCTCATCTACCCCCCCTCATCTACCCCCCTCATCTACCCCCCCCCTCATCTACCCCCTCATCTACCCCCCTCATCTACCCCCTCATCTACCCCCCTCATCTACCCCCCCTCAATCTACCCCCCTCATCTACCCCCTCAACTACCCCCCTCATCTACCCCCTCATCTACCCCCCTCATCTACCCACCTCATCTACCCACCCTCATCTACCCCCCTCATCTACCCCCCTCAATCTACCCCCCTCATCTACCCCCCTCATCTACCCCCTCATCTACCCCCCTCATCTACCCCCCTCATCTACCCCCTCAATCTACCCCCCTCATCTACCCCACCATCTACCCCCTCATCTACCCCCCCTCATCTACCCCCCTCATCTACCCCCTCATCTACCCCCTCATCTACCCCCCCTCATCTACCCCCATCATCTACCCCCTCAGCTACCCCCCCTCATCTACCCCCCTCAACTACCACCCTCATCTACCCCCCTCATCTACCCCCCTCATCTACCCCCCTCATCTACCCCCTCAATCTACCCCCCCTCATCTACCCCCCTCATCTACCCCCCTCATCTACCCCCCTCATCTACCCCCCTCATCTACCCCCTCATCTACCCCCTCATCTACCCCCACCCTCATCTACCCCCCTCATCTACCCCCCTCATCTACCCCCCTCATCTACCCCCCTCATCTACCCCCTCATCTACCCCCCTCATCTACCCCCTCATCTACCCCCCCTCATCTACCCCCCTCATCTACCCCCCTCATCTACCCCCCTCATCTACCCCCCCCTCATCTACCCCCCTCATCTACCCCCCTCATCTACCCCCCTCAACTACCCCCCTCATCTACCCCCCTCATCTACCCCCCTCATCTACCCCCCTCATCTACCCCCCTCATCTACCCCCTCATCTACCCCCCCTCATCTACCCCCCCTCATCTACCCCCCTCATCTACCCCCCCTCATCTACCCCCCTCATCTACCCCCTCATCTACCCCCTCACTACCCCCCTCATCTACCCCCCCTCATCTACCCCCCTCATCTACCCCCCTCATCTACCCCCCTCATCTACCCCCTCATCTACCCCCCTCATCTACCCCCTCAACTACCCCCCTCATCTACCCCCCTCATCTACCCCCTCACCTACCCCCCTCCTCATCTACCCCCCCTCATCTACCCCCTCATCTACCCCCCTCATCTACCCCCCTCATCTACCCCCCTCATCTACCCCCCTCATCTACCCCCCTCATCTACCCCCCTCATCTACCCCCCTCATCTACCCCCCCTCATCTACCCCCCTCATCTACCCCCCTCATCTACCCCCCTCATCTACCCCCCCTCATCTACCCCCCTCATCTACCCCCCTCATCTACCCCCCCTCATCTACCCCCCTCATCTACCCCCCTCATCTACCCCCCTCATCTACCCCCCTCATCTACCCCCCTCATCTACCCCCCTCATCTACCCCCCCTCATCTACCCCTCTCATCTACCCCTCTCATCTACCCCCCCTCTCATCTACCCCCTCTCATCTACCCCCCTCTCATCTACCCCCCTCTCATCTACCCCTCTCATCTACCCCCTCTCATCTACCCCCTCATCTACCCCTCTCATCTACCCCCTCTCATCTACCCCCTCTCATCTACCCCCTCATCTACCCCCTCATCTACCCCCTCTCATCTACCCCCCTCTCATCTACCCCCTCTCATCTACCCCCTCTCATCTACCCCCTCTCATCTACCCCCTCTCATCTACCCCCTCTCATCTACACCCCTCTCATCTACCCCCTCTCATCTACCCCCCTCTCATCTACCCCCTCTCATCTACCCCCCTCTCATCTACCCCTCTCATCTACCCCTCTCATCTACCCCCTCTCATCTACCCCTCTCATCTACCCCCCCTCTCATCTACCCCCCTCTCATCTACCCCCCTCATCTACCCCCTCTCATCTACCCCTCTCATCTACCCCCCTCATCTACCCCCCCTCAATCTACCCCCCTCATCTACCCCCCTCATCTACCCCCCTCATCTACCCCCCTCATCTACCCCCCCCTCATCTACCCCCCTCATCTACCCCCCCTCATCTACCCCCCCCTCATCTACCCCCCTCATCTACCCCCCTCATCTACCCCCCTCATCTACCCCCCCTCATCTACCCCCTCATCTACCCCCCTCATCTACCCCCCCTCATCTACCCCCCTCATCTACCCCCCTCATCTACCCCCTCATCTACCCCCCTCATCTACCCCCCTCATCTACCCCCTCATCTACCCCCCTCATCTACCCCCCCTCATCTACCCCCCTCATCTACCCCCCTCATCTACCCCCCTCATCTACCCCCCTCATCTACCCCCCTCATCTACCCCCCTCATCTACCCCCTCATCTACCCCCCTCATCTACCCCCCTCATCTACCCCCCTCATCTACCCCCCCTCATCTACCCCCCTCATCTACCCCCCTCATCTACCCCCCTCATCTACCCCCCCTCATCTACCCCCCTCATCTACCCCCCCTCATCTACCCCCCTCATCTACCCCCCTCATCTACCCCCCTCATCTACCCCCCTCATCTACCCCCCCTCATCTACCCCCCTCATCTACCCCCCTCATCTACCCCCCCTCATCTACCCCCCTCATCTACCCCCCTCATCTACCCCCTCATCTACCCCCCTCATCTACCCCCCTCATCTACCCCCCTCATCTACCCCCTCATCTACCCCCCTCATCTACCCCCCTCAATCTACCCCCCTCATCTACCCCCCTCATCTACCCCCCTCATCTACCCCCCTCATCTACCCCCCTCATCTACCCCCTCATCTACCCCCCTCATCTACCCCCCCTCATCTACCCCCCTCATCTACCCCCCTCATCTACCCCCCCTCATCTACCCCCCCTCATCTACCCCCCTCATCTACCCCCCCTCATCTACCCCCCTCTCATCTACCCCTCCCTCTCATCTACCCCCTCTCATCTACCCCTCATCTCATCTACCCCCCCTCTCATCTACCCCCCCTCTCATCTACCCCCCCTCATCTACCCCCCTCTCATCTACCCCCTCTCATCTACCCCCCTCATCTACCCCCCTCTCTATCTACCCCCTCTCATCTACCCCCTCTCATCTACCCCTTCACCTACCCCTCTCATCTTACCCCCCTCTCATCTACCCCTCCCTCATCCTACCCCCCTCTCATCTACCCCTCTCATCTACCCCCCCTCTCATCTACCCCCTCTCATCCTACCCCCCCTCTCATCTACCCCCCCTCTCATCTACCCCCCTCTCATCTACTCCTCTCTCATCTACCCCTCTCATCTACCCCCCTCTCATCTACCCCCCCTCCTCATCTACCCCCTCTCATCTACCCCCTCTCATCTACCCCCCTCTCATCTACCCCTCTCACCTACCCCTCTCACCTACCCCCTCTCATACTACCCCCCCTCTCATCTACCCCTCTCATCTACCCCCTCTCATCTACCCCCTCTCATCTACCCCCCTCTCATCTACCCCTCCCTCTCATCCACCCCCTCTCATCTACCCCTCTCATCTACCCCCTCTCATCTACCCCCCTCTCATCCACCCCCTCTCATCTACCCCCTCTCATCTACCCCCTCTCATCTACCCCTCCCTCTCATCTACCCCCTCTCATCTACCCCCTCTCATCTACCCCTCTCATCTACCCCCTCT